ATGCTGTGCTCAACCTTGTGTGATAGTGACATCCCCCGTTTTCATGAATGGTCTTGCCCATCATCGGTTGTTTACTTTTTGAACACTGTCATGTGATCATGGCGAACCTTGTAGGAAACAATGGAATCTGTACAAAGTTGTTATGAATGATGCGACTCGCGTACAGCAATGGGCTGAGTACTCTTCAACGCTAGATCAGAACTGAGCGAGAGGGACGAACAGCGCGAGAATGGAGGAACGAACATCGCGAGGAGGAAACAGGAGAAACAGAGCGAGGAAGGGAGGAACTTCAACAACACGAAGGACGGGAAGCAACAGAAACGCTGTGGGGAATAGTGAGTGTTGGACAGGCTTATCGTGACACGAACACTGCGCAGTACATAATTTGTATTGTTTGCGACGAGTGCTTGTAAGAATTGAGTGGGACTTGGTTGTAATACAGCGCAACGTATGTAAAGTACGTGTTTATGAAGTCTAGTGTGTGAAATCTTGCTGTTCCTGTGGTGCCGCATATTGTTGTTTTGCCTCGCTGTGACAGAAATCCCCCAGGAAATCGTCGTTTATGTGTTCTGACGTGGAAAAGCAGCTACAGACCGAACAGTGAACTTGTGAGTTATTTATCAGTGCACTTATTTCTGTTTATTCGGACTTTTCTTGGGTTGTTTCCTTTTTTATTTGTCACTGTATGTATCTGTGTATACGCTTGAGAGACGTTAGTGTCTTGTTAGCTCAAATGTCAGTTTGTTGTTTCTTATTGCTTGCATTTAGACGTTGTACTAATATTTGGGATCACTTGTGTTAGGTGGTGACAGTATTTGAAGAAATTTTACCCATTTGTGTTTGGTTGGGTTTCTCTAAATATATTTCTGTGCCGCGCGAATTTCCTTTTGCGTTTATCGATTCCACTTTTAGCCAGCTGACATTATACGTAGCAAGACTGACTATGCGTGAGTGAGTGGCAACAGGTTGCACACTATTCTAAATAGTGTGATTTTCTTTATTTATTGACACAAAAGTAATTGTATTTCATTCGAGTGTGGCAAGTTTACTAGTCTGAACATAGCCTATTTATGTGTACCTTGCCTACATTG